GCATGGCCATCCCCCCTGGGGGGGTGATTTCCTGCTTTCTGTCTCTCTGTCTCTCTCTGTCTGGCAAGTGCATGCGCCCTATAGCAAAAACCTCTCAAGAAATAAATAAAATAAAATAATGCTTAAAAAAATGGGAGGAATGTTGCGTGGACACCCAGTGATCAAAACTATCGCTTTTCAGAGAAGGTAAACTACACGGGAGGGTAAAAACCCGAGCCAGGGTGGGGCAGTGAGGCAGCTGTGTACAGGGCAGGTGTTTATACCAGAACTGCAGAACCTGCAGACGACAGCTGGGCACTTTTGCCCACTGCTGGGCTGCTTGAGCTCAGGGGCACCAAGGCAGAGCAAGCCAGACATACTGGTGGAAATAGACCCCAATTTTAGAAGAACCACAGATTTTAAGTAGAAATTCGTGTTTTCACTTAGCTTCCTTAATACCTGCAGAGCCCACCTGTTCCTCCATCCACACAGCCTCTGGCTTTTTCTGTCCATCCTAACCTCTTACCTCCTGGGTTTGGCAACTCCAGAACGCACTTGGAGTTAGGATTAGGAATTTGGGGCAGCAGGATAGAGGGCCATGGGGCCAAGAGGGACACAGGCCAGAACCTTTTTTGGCTCCCCATGCCTTTCAGAATAGTCTTCTAGCTCCTTTCTTGCGGGATCGGGAAAGGCCACAGCTCCGGGCACTCGTCTTCTTCCAGCCATAGGATCACCTGCTTTTCAAAAACCTCAACGCCCCACTAGGCTGCCGTCCTTAAAACCCAGAGGCTCCGCCCACAAAAGGGCACGCTTGCGTGCTCGCCGCGGCGGCCATTTTGGAGCCGGGCAGCCTACCCGCATCTGGTCATCCTTGGCAGGGTCGCGCAATGGGGGTAAGACCACCCTGTGCACTAAACCCGTGGCGGGCCTGTGCTGGCAAGACCAACGGCCCCACACTCCCGTTCAGCTTCTAGGTAAATCCATGAGCCGATACCCCGACGGCAAGCTGTAGCTCACCACCCTCGAGAAGGCACTTGCTTCCTTCTCCGTGAAATGGGGGTTCAAGCCTCTCCCCACCGCGTCGCCATCTCTGTGTACTCCGTATTGAGTATAGATAGGATCCCAGCATGAACCCTGGCACAGCGAGCTGCTCCTGTGCACCGCTGGGTACCTTCGCCTGGGTCTGTGCGTGGACCCTTCCAGGACTTGTGGAGGGGCAGGGGGCTCCCGTGCCCACAGGGCGGAAGTGAAGCTCACCACTCCTCTTGGACTTGAGTCCGGTTTGTCAGAAACTGACCAGGGTGCCCAGGATTGGAAACTTTGTAGATTTTGGAACATTTCAACACCCCCATACTTGTTATTTTTATCACCCCTGGCTGTGTCCCCACAGGGACTCCCATGCAGCATGAAACTCCTAGAATGAAAAGCCCTGTGTGTGTGCTGGCTGTGGGGACATCAGGAAGGGGGTACTGGGACATGATGTCCCAGAGCTAAGTGGGGGAAAAGGGCCTGCAGGGACTAGCGTGGGTGGCGGCCCCAGCGGGGAGAGGAATTCAGGCCAGACCTGAGGTGGCCTGTGGGGGTCCTCCCGTGTGCAGCTGCTCACCCAACTCTGCAGCCTTCGCCCTGCAGTGAGCGTCCCCCACTTCCTATGGAAACTGGAACCCAGAGAGCAGAGGAAGTGCATGGACAAGAGGCTAGAGAGCTGGTGGGGCGGGGCCAAGGCCTCCCAGCGGGCAGGGGCCTGGGGTGCTGGAAGACCACCCCCACACCTCTGCCAGATGCTGGGAATATGCCAGCCATGCCCGGTTCTCAGGGTCCAGCATGATGGGAAGGGAGGGAGGCAGCAGAGGATACAGGGTTTCCCAGGCTGGGGTGGGGGATTGCACAGTTTATTTTCGAACACAGAGGAGGGGGTGGGGTGGCCAGTGGGCTCCATCTGCATCCCCTCCCTGCATTTGGCTTAATCCATAACTTCTCTCCCCTCACACCCAAGCCCCCAGCTGTGCAAGATAGAGAAGGTGCTCCCACCCCCACCCCAGGAGTGGCCTAGGAGATGAGGAGCCTGGAGTATGGGGTGGGGGGTAGCGTTCAAGTATTCACAGTTCCTCTGTCCACACCTCCACGTTGTACTGTACCCGGGCCATGCGGGACAGTCACCCTCGGGGATTCCTAGTGGGGACAACAGCCCTTCTCCCACCGAGAACCCTCCACGTGAACGTACAGTAACAAACAAGTCCTGAGCCCTGCAGTCTGAGCAAGGAGGGGCCTCTGCACTGCTCCCCCAAGGGCCTTGTGGTTGGGGCAAAGGTCTTCTGTAGTGAGTGGGTTAGGAGCAAGTGGTGTAACGGGAGGGGAAGGAGGTGGGCTGAGAGGATCATGGGAGGCAGGCTCGGGGGGTCCTGATGGCTACGTTCAGACCACTCTGATTTGCACCCCCACCCCCGCCCCCACCCCAGGCCCAGAATCCCTGAGAGTCCAATGGCAAAGGCAATATGAGGTGCAGGGAGTGGAAGCAGGGGGACTGCCGAGTGGGCCCTGGGCCCCCCTCCAGCCACGTCTGCTCTGGGAGACAGGACTGCGCTCGAGCCCAGCTCTCAGGTTCTGACCTGCCAGAACCGCTGAGTCCTAGGACCACCAGGCAGACCCACTGGCCCTCACACCCCAGAGCTCCTGGCCTGGGCAGAGTGGTGGGAACAGGGAAGGAGGTTTCCCAAGGGTATTATAAAAAGCTAAAACCATTAAAAACTTCTTGGGAAGAAGTGCCTCCCAGTCTGGTGCCTACCCGTTACTCGTCTGCCCAGTGCCCAGCAGACAGGGTAGGGGCCCAGAGCTGAGGGAGGGGCTACAGCCCTTCTCTGCCAGGGAGGGGGCCCATTAGCACCATGCAATGTTGGGGCGCCTCTGCAGCCTGACTGGCCCTGAGCAGGGGCCCTCGTAAGCTAGAGTGCCCATTCTCTAAAGCTTCTGTACTCAAGGGAGGAACCCCGACAGGGGAGGGAAAGGGAGAAGGCTTGGCCGAAGTCCATGCAGGAATCTCAGCTGAGACTCCAGAGGGTCCCCCGGGAGTCATGACTTGAAGAATCTTCGTACCACAAACTGACCCAACAGAACCACACCCAGAACCATCAGCACATTCCTGATGGGGCCGTTGCCCAGGTCCAGGGCTGCCACCTGTTGGGAGGAACAAGGTGGTCAGAGAAGGGCTGGCAGAGTCCACGGGCACCGGGAGATCCAGGTGGGGTGGGGGAGGGCAGCAGGGGGCCCCAGAGACCCTCAGGCACTCACCCAGCCGCCTCTCTGCGCGATCCACCGGGCGATGCAGTGGCGCAGCATGAAGTCGGCCACGAAGCGGGCCACTTGGCCCAGGAAGCCCCTCAGGCCGCGCTGGTAGACGTGGAGGGCCAGGCGGTATCCGAAGCCCAGGAGCGCCACCACTCGGCCCCAGTTGATGCCGCTCTCAAACAGGCTGCGGGCAGAGCATCCCGTGGTCAGTGGAGAGCCCCGAGGCCCTACCGCCACCTGTGCTGGCCCGCCCCGCCCAGCCCCACCCAGCCGGAAAGTGACCCGGCTTCGCTGTGAATCCAGGCTGTAAAGGCCTGGCTCGATGTGGGGGGGGACCTGGGTATCTGTGGGAGGAGGAAGCTCTGAGGGCATCTGAGCCGGGCGCTGCTGCGGGGTGCAGCCCCCAGGCTATAGGCACAGAAGGGCAGAAAGAGCGGAGGGCAGAGAGCAGGTGGAGGCAGCAGGGAGGTTACCTGTGGGTGTCGCTGCTGGCCTGGCAGCCCGAGGGACAGCAAGAGAAAAGGACAGAAGAGGAGGTTAGGACAGGACCTGGAATCATGGCAGTGGAGAGTCGTGGCCTCTCAGGACATGGGCTGGCCCTGGCTCTGAGCGCTGATCCCAAGCGTGTCACCCACTCCTGCCTTCCTCTCCAACTTCCAGTCTGCCTGACACCTAGGGGCAGCAGCAGCTAACACGCGAGTGTGGACGCCGAGCTAAGCACACACTCCACCTTTACTGGTAAGGGGACTGGGGGCTAAGACCGTTCACAGTCCCGTAAGTGGCCTAGCTGGGACTCGAACCCAGGTTTCTGGTCTCTAACCACTCTAGCAGACTGTTTCTTGGGTCCACGCAATGGCAACTAGAGGCCATTTCCAGGACTGGCAGAGGTTGGCAAGCTTACCAGCGTCAGTGTACCGGCTGTGAGCTGGGCCCCAGCTGGGCTCGGGATTTCTGGGGGACCACCCAGAGCCCCTGTGGGATCCTGACCTACCTGGTCAAGTCCTCAGTGTCAGAGCTCAAAGGAGCTGCGAGCTTGTGTACGAACGAGGACGTCAGACCAGAGGGAGGACGGCAGGGCCCGAGACCCTGGGCGCGCTAACAGCAGCCCTGCCCTGACACTGACCGGGGTGTGTCTCCCACGCCCAGGCCCACGGCAGTGCCAGGACGGTGGGGCGGCCAAGCCGGTGTGGGGCGAGCGGCTACCTGGAGGCGATCTTGGTGAAGTACTCGTAGGCGTTCTCCGCTGTGGGCTGCAGTTGCTGCAGCATGGCCTGGAACTCCGAGTCATAGCGTCGGTTGATGTCGTCCCCGATGATGGCGAGCTGCCGGCCCACCTGCCCCATGGTGCTGCAGGGGTGGGGGGTAGGAGGCAGGGGATGAGCAGGCGGGCGAACAGGGCTGGGACCTGGGCTCACAGCAGAGGGCTCCTGGCTGAGGTGCCCCTGGCCTGGGAACACCTCCCCGAAGGTCCCCAACAGGGCTGTCCGACAGGAAGCTGGGCTCGGTGACAAGGAGCGGACACGTGTAGAAAAGGGTGCCACGTCCCAGATGGGGGTGGGAGCCCAAGATAAAAAATGGAACAAGCCCAGGAAGGACAAGTCTCCCAGGCCTCCGCAGACCTGCAGATCCCACGTGGGCCTCCCCATCCCAGAAGAGGGCCCTGGGGACTGACGCACCTATTTGGTTCTAGGGGCAAGGAGTCCATCTCTGGGTCGGCGGGGGCGGCCACCTCCTCAGACTCCTGCTCCTGCCGATGGCGGTAAAAAACGTAGCTGCGGAAAACCTCCTCTGTGTCCCGGGCTACCTGCTCCTCTGAGGATCAAAGCTGGGAGTCAGGGAGGGACCCCAGCAGCCCCGTCCTCTGTGGGTCATCTATTCTTCCTCAGGCCACGGCTGTCTTGCCCATGGACCACGGAGGTGCTCCTACTCCAGCCCCGTGGCTGTCAGGGGCTCCCTTCACAAGAGCACTGTGAGGAGGTGACCCCGTGTACAGACGGGAACCCGCGGCAGCACGTCTAGGGAATGTGCACGGGGCCACAGGCAGGGGGGCCGGTACGACCCCAGGGACTGGGCCCCAAGTCTTTCAGTGTGTACACGGTACACAGCCCCTGGGGTCTAGGGACGTGCGAAATGGAAGTTGAAACTGTAGGGGACAGGGGCGGCACAGCAGTAAAATGCAACACTGCCCGGCTGGCCCAGGTGGGAGGATGCCCGGTTCTTGTCTGGAGACCTCCCCGAGGACAGCAGGCACACGCGTGCCCATGACCTGGGGCCGGCTGGGGCTGGGGGTGGATCGCAGCATCAGCTCCCCGCTGGAATGCTCTCTCTCTCCCTCATGGAAAAAAGAAATAAACTTAAAAATATGTTTTCGAATTTGTAGCCGTGGGTCCAGAAAGGTCTCATGAGGAGATAGTGCCAGACCTGAGACCTGAACGGGGCCAGCCCAGGAACAGCCTGAAGTGGGCCTGGCTGCAGGCTTCCCTGGCCGGCCACTGGAAGAGGGAGGGCGGGCGGCCATCGTTTTTTTTTGCCATCTTACTTCCTCCCCCGAGCCACAGATCCCGTCCCCTGTGCAGCAGACCTGGCTGTGACAAGCTGTTTACTTCCTTCTTTCTCCTGCTGCAGGGATCCAGCAGCCATGCCACGGTTCCCTCCTCCCTCACCTCCGACCCCGCCCCTCGGCCCTGGGATGGCACCGTGCCCGCTTCCCCACCTTCCCCGGCTCGTGGGCCCTGGCCCAGACTTCTCCCCACGCCCAGGGCTTGACCTTCACTCTGAGCCCGGCAGGCTACCTGCTCTGGGCGGGGAGACACCTTTCTCCCTTAAGCAAGGTGGATGAACTGAGGCAGAAGGTGGCCCCTAGGTGGCCCTGCCCACCTCTGCCCTCTGCCTTCACCAAGACAGCGCTAGTGGTGACAGAGTGGGTGAGGGGGCAGGAAGACCCTTACCAGAAGCGGAGGTCGGGGCAGGCTCTCCACACTCCTGCCTGGGAGGCCCTGGGCCCTGCCCGGATGCCATGTTTAGTCTCTGTGGAGGACAGCGTCAGCCTGGGGGGTGGGTGAGAAAAAGCAGAGGTGGGGGTGAGCAGGGGCTTCTGGCTGGGGACCCTAGAGGCGTTGCCACGGCCACACAGCAGGGGTTCCCCATTCCCAGACTCTCTAGTGCACTGGGAATTTGGTCTTACTCCTGCCTGTGGGTCTGGGGGTCTGCCTGGAGGAGTTGGAACTCATGGAGCAGTTCACGGGCACCCCTTGGAAGGGGACAGTTGCGAAAGGTGGGGTGGCCAAGGACAGATCAAGGTCTCTGCGCCAGTGCCTGGCCAGTGCCCGGCCAGCTGCGGGGCCTTCAGGAGGGCGTGGCGGCACCAGTGCCTGGGTGGCGCTCAGAACCTTTCATGTCATTCCTAGGCGAGGTAGGCCGGCGGGGGCAGGGGCAGAGGGGCTTCTTTCAGCTGCTCCAGGTCTGCGGGGGCGCCCTCCCCAGCACACGCTCACGCAGGCTCCCACCTCCAGCCAAGCACCGCGAAAGCGGTCCTCCAAGGCAGTCCTTGAAGGCCGCTTCCCCTCGGTGGGCCAGAACACACCGGCTTTCCCCCTCGGGGCTGCTGGCTGCAAACGTTTCCTGCGAGCGCCCGGACCCCGCACACTCAGGGCATTAAAGACTCAGGGACCGAGCGGGGCGAGATCACCACGCCCAGTTTCCAGGTGGGAAAAGCGAGGCACAGAGAGGCCAGTCCCGAGCGTGCAGCGGGCCGGGCTCCGGCGGGCTGGCTAAACCCCTCCGCGTCCATCCACTCAGCACTCAAGGCGGTGTCCCAGTTCGTGGGCCCCCGTGTCTTTCCAGGGTGACTGTCTTTCCTCGTTTACTTCCTCCTTGCAGGGAGCCTGTGGTGGGCCCCCCCAGCCTGCCCCGCACGACATCCGCTCACACACCTGCTCTCCTCCCACTGCTCCCCCCCACCCTCCACCCTCGCGTTTTCCTCTCCGTGGCTCCTGGCCACAGCCCGGATCCGCTGTGAACTGGTGTCACAGGGAGTATTTCCTGCATGTGGCTGTTTCACTTTCAGTTTGCGCCCCTTCCAGAGCCCCATTTCCCCAGGGGCTGCCTCCATCACCCTAGAGGAGGGTTCAGCCCCACCCTCGCCAGGCGCAGCAGCACCCACCCCACCCCAAAGGCCCGCTGCCCTGGCCCACCCTTCTTCCTGTCAGGCCTGGGGCCATTTTTGAAAGTGCGCTAAGGCTGGACCACCTGCGGGCTCTGCTCCCCCACCACCCCTCTGGACACAGGGCCAGGGTGAAGGCAGACCCTCCTCTCCTCCTCTGGGAGCCAGGCCTTGAGAAAACAGGCCTTTGCCTGGCACACCCCTACCCGACAGCCCCTTCCTAGGGAAGATGCCCTCCCTCTCCTTCAGTCCCCCAAACCCAGCACCCCAGGGCGGCAGGATGCTGTCTGCACCCCAGCCTGCTCTACCACTATCCCGGCTCCTGCTGGGAGCAGGCAGAGCCTAGAAGAGCCCCAAGCCCAGCGGCCTCTGCCGACTAGGCCTACCTCCCCGGCCCACTCTAACACCCAAGTGGCCTAATTTCCCGGAAACCGGAGGCCATCCCCTCCCTTCCCTTCCCCTCCCCTCCGGCTCCCGCCCAACTCCTGGGCTTGCCGGGCCCGGGATGGATGCTCCCCAAGGAAACAGCCCTGGCGGGCCCCAGACCCAGTCTCGGGGTGCGGGGGCAGCAGGAAGCAACGAGGAAGTTCTCTCTCTGTCCTTGACCTTGGCTCTGCCTCCGCTCCCATCCCCCAGACCGCTAAAGGACCCAGTTCTTAGATCCTCTGGCCTCCAGGGCCGGCCCACGGGGGAGCTGTCTGAGCGCAGCCAGGGGGGTCCTGGCATGATCAGGCCCCAGCAGGGAATGGCAGACCCACCGAGGCAAGCCTGAGGTTTCTCGGCTCCACCGGCTCCCGGCGGGCGCCCTGCCCCACCCCGGGATGGCGGAGGATGGGCAGGACCCTGCCCGCTTACCTGCCCAGACCCCGGCCCAGACCCGGATGACTCAGCAGGGCCGAGGGGCTGGCGGCTGCGCGCAGCAACAGGAGTCCGCGCGACTTCCAGGAAAGGGTGTCAGTACATTCCTGGGGCGTGGATGTAACTCGGCTCGTCCCTGCGCGGCTCGGGGACCCACGCGGCTCTGGGGATCATAGAGGTGAGGCGCCGGGGCCTGGCTGCGACCAGCCCCCTCTAGAGGAAGCGGCCCTGTCTGCACGCGCCCCCACATGAAAAATAACAAAAAAAAAAAAAAAAAAAAAAAAACCCGGGGATGCGAAGTTTCTTCACCACCGTGGGGTGCGGTGCCCCGGAACCACCACGGTCTCGCTGGGGCCTTTCAACCACCCTGGGGAGTCGTGCTGTCAACCACACCCACTCCACGGACGTACCACCGCGGGCTCGGCCAGTGCGAGGAGCGGGCTCGGGGTCACTGAGTGGGTTGATAAGCAGATCTGTAGGTACCATGGGAGTGATACCACGACACCGAGACTCAACCTGCAGCTCGGACCAGGTAGCAGGCGTCTCCGGATCGGAGATTCTGAAGATGGTGGAGGGTAAACAGATGGGCAAAGTGCTCGGAGGGGGAGAAGCAGGCGACAGACACTCTGAGGGTGCTGTGGGGAATGTTCCCATTCTCAGGGTCCCGATCCCTCCCAGCCTTCCTGGTCCACTCCCTGCCAGGGCTCTCCAAACGTCTCCTCCCCCAACTCTACAGCCACCCCAGCCCTCACCACCCCCGCCCAGCCCAGCCTCCACCCCGCCTTCCCCTGCTCTGCCAACACCCCACCCCATTCTCTCAGCCTCCAACTAATCTCCCCCCCACCCGGCCCCCCACCCCCACTTGACCTTTGCCTTCTAGAACTCCCAGGATGTTTCCAACTGGAGGTTTTAGTTTGAAAACTCCTCCTGTTCTTAAGCAGTTGGTGGGGCTGGCTGCTGAAGCACCCCCCCAGTCAGGGTCCGGCTGGGGATGGAGGCCCCAGCTCCCAGACCTCGAGCCCGGCCACACTTACTCGG